AAACTTTTGTCAGCTTTGCTTGATAGCCCTCAAGTACAAATATATCAGAACTGAAATCCCTAATTTGTTTCCCTGTATTTTTAGGGGTTTCAGATCTCTGGTTGAACCTGATATGTACAGTTAACAGATAGTTACTTATAATCTGACATACCAACAAGTGCTTAAAAATATGTGTCCTCTGGACAATGATAAAGCAAACATAGCAGCACTGGAGCTACTCTTACAAATGTCTGAGCCTGCTTTCCCTTAGCTGGTATTTCTTTAGTTTCTCTCCATATGTCTTTTATATAACATCCTATAAGAGTCTAAAGCATTTTAAGATTTTATGCTGCACCCCATAATATGAGGATATAATAAAAATCCAGACTAACTTTAAGTGTATAAATGGTGCTGAAAAATATGTTCCTCTTCACATGCAGTCTTTTCAGGGCGGGATTTCATTGTTTGATACACTGGTCCTATGGTCCAGTCTTCATGAGACACTCCCCATGCAATCACTCAAAGTTTGATTGTGGAGCATCATCTCTAGTGATTGCAAGACAGTGGAGTTTGTCTTCTGTGTCCCATTTCTTTCCCCCACCACTCCTATGGTGAGCAAAGAAAAGGTGCCTGAGCACATTTTGAGTTGGCCCCATCTGTATTAGCCTAATACAGGTTGCATTCCTAGGTCCCTCTTAATGAAGGCCTTAGTCTTTTTCTTTAAGGATTCCTTTCATTTTAACACAAATCAGTCCAGCTAGGCTGCAAATGACTTTTTGTGCAAAATTTGCTGGGTAATTTCAATGCAATTCTAGTTATGTGCAAACAAAATGAGTAAGCACCTGCAAGACACTGAATTTATGTTTTCTTTTCCTGACATCCTGACGGAGATCCCGACTGCATGCCGGCTGGTTAATGTTAGTAGATGTTAATGTTGGTAGATGGGGATCTGGGAAAAAGAAAGAAAATAAACAGAATAGTCAGAAACATTGCATATCTGTGTAATTTCCTTAAAATAGAGTTTGCCTTTCTTAAAACGTGGAGTTTTTTGTTTGCACACTGTTCTATTTTAGGACCTGTAAAAATGCCTGATGTCAGATCTGCAAAGAAAAAACATGTTGCCCATAAAACACAATTTGAAGAAATTAATATGGGAAATGTGTGTCTTCCAGTAAAGGTAATGCAAGAGAAGCTTGAAGAGCATTGATAGTTGATTTTTTTTTTTTTTCATCAGCACACTTGGTTTAATTTCTGATACTAGGCTCAGTGTCTGCTGTGGCTTGCAGTAAACTTCCTTTTAGTCTTCAGTCTTTCAACATCCTTTAGAAACCATGTTAACAGACTTTAGAATCTCACTGACATTATCAGAAAAAAACCCAACCCAGTATGAATAAATAAATGGCTGCCCAGAAGTCCAGCATTGTGCCAGCCTAGTGGTGTTCCCTTGCTTTGTAGGATCTAGTGTCAAATGGGAACAGGAAGAATTTGGATAGCCATATCTCACTTTAGAGGCAAAAGATTCCGCAATGTGAGGGGAAGGAGAGGATTTCTCCTTATTGACTCAAAATTATTCTCATTAATGAGCTAGAGGCCTGTCTGTCTAAAATGGTGACTGTGGGTGTGCGCTTGTGGAAAAGAGAGAACACCATGAATATATTAATGAGTGAACAAAATAGGTTAAACTTTCCTTGTTTCTGGTCTCTAATTCCCATATTTCCATGTCATCCACTTATCTCAAAAAATACAGGGCTTTGCATTGCATACTATGCATAGTGTCTACGATTTCTGTGCTCTTACAAGCCTGTAGGTCCTGAAGGAATAAGTAAAAAGTTCATGTATAGTATTTCTAAAGAAAGACGTCTCTTAGTAGCCTAATGAACCTCATGATCAATAAGAGCTTGCTAGGCATCTTTATACCTAGCACAAAATGTCACAAAAGCATTAATTAGTAGTTTTGTGTAGTTTCTAATAGGATTTGGGCATGAGTGTAGGAGAGAAATCTTACTTTTGGATGGAGAGATTTGTGGGTTTTGTTAGGCATCTGCTCTTCCACCAAAGGACACAAAACTGAAAAGGCTGGAAAAAGCATGTATAGTTCAGAAAAGCACAGTTCTGTTTCTACATGCTTTACTTCCCTCTTTCCATGGCACACACCTTAAACCTGCATCCATCTCCCTCCTCCCACCCCTTGATTTCTTTGCGTGTATCTCCCTCTTAGAGCTCTGAATTCAATATAAGGAGTAGTGTAAATCAATAGTAAATGCTAACCGCCCACTCTGTACTCAGTTACGCAATATCGCATACCGTGTACACAGAGACAAAAAGGGAAAAAGCACACACAGGCTTTACATTCAAAAGCTCTTGCATAATTTTGCTTTTCTACAGCCAAAAGAGGGAAAAAAAAAAAAAAAAAAAAAAAGGGAAATAACAGATGGGGAGACTTGCAGTTTTTTTTTCCCTTTTCTCAGACTGTACAGAGGCGAGTTCGTTTAACATCCATGGTCATTTCTAATTGCCCCATGCTGCAGATAAGCAAGGCAGGCTTGCTTGTACTTGAAAATAAGACTTTTTTCCAGCTTCCATGATGTGGTGCACTTTGCAGGTAATATAAGACAATCTCTTATGAAATGTTTAAGTCTGAATTAGTTACTTCTTTAGTCTTAGTGAAAACAAGAAAAAGAAACACCTCACTTCAACTGTTTGATACATGTTGCAAAGTGAAAGAGGGACGAGGAATAAGCGAGGTTGGATTGACTCTCTGACGTGGTTTGTGCCTTTTTTTTTTTAATCTTTTTTCCTTTCTGAAAAGCAAAATATCTCTCAATGTAATATTTATGTAAAAAGCCAGTTATGTAACTCTCGCCTGCCTTTCGCTTTTGTTACCTCTCTGGACTGTACAGCTCTACTGTTTTTCCTGACGACAGATTGTATTAAAACCTGCAAATCCTGATGAAAGGAAAGAACAACTGGGTGCCCACAGCACAGACTTTAATTTTGAGCCTTTTTAAGGGCTTCAGGCTGGGAAGACAATGGATCTATTTAAGATCTGGTTTTGGCTGGAGGAATTCTTACTGAGTATTTTCTTGTCACAGTGTGCTCTAGAACATCCCTGGCTTCTACACAGTGTTTCTGCCTCTCTCCTCCCCCTCCCTCCAACTTTTGGATGTATACAATGAAAGCTTTTTCCCTTTCCTCTCCTGACCTTAATGCAAGTGTCAGTTTGGTTTCTGTATAACAGCAGCAAGTGCAGAAGAACAGTGAAATTTTAGGTTGTACTGAACTTTGTTTATTAGTTTCTATTTCAAGTGATTGATGTCCATAAAAGTCCAAAGATTCTTCCGATTAGGATTAGATGGGATATTTCAGCAAGCAAAAATACATATAGCCCTGCTGAAATAATTTTTAAAAATAAATAAATAAAAAATGAGGGATTTGTGGGCTTCAAAAAGGGAACAAAAGGGTCAGTACTAAAGAAAAGTTCATACTTTTTTCCCTGTTCATTCCTACCCTACAGAAAGAAATTATTCCTGTAGTTATTGCAAGCAATTTATTCCTAGTTGTATCCTCTGAGGATCTGACCTGTTTGTGGTTGTGAGCATTGTGTCGGGGTTTGTTTTCTTTTGCCCTTTACAAATCGTTCTTGTCTGCGTGCACATTCTTGGACAGATTCTTCCCTAGTGTAATGCTGCTAATTCTGTTGATATGATGTCAGGAGTCTATTAGGTCAATTATAAAGTTATAGGGCTCGATCCTCAGTTATTTTAAAGTGTTTTTCTGGCATTGGAAAGGAGCCGTAAAATGAGTCTGCATGTGAATTATGCCCACTTCAGGCATAACAGAAAAAAATATTTAAAGCTGACAACTTTCAACAGTGATCCCTGTGACAAACTTTAAATGAAACAGGATTTAGTGAAAACAGGAAGTGGAATATTTTAAGCTCTGTAAGTGTATTTTAAACTGTGTAAGTATATTTCACCAAATTGCTGGGGAGTACGTATGTATTCAAAAGCGCATTGGAACACCTGGATTCCCTGCCTGATTCAGAAACTGGCCCTTGCTTTGGCTCTGGGCAATGAAAACTTCTTCTACCTCCATTTGTTTCTCAGTACAGAATCACTTAGGAATTACAGTCGTAGATACTTGCTTTATTGTGCCCTGCAGAAATATTTTCAAGCTATGTTATTAATGCTTATAAAATCTACTTAAATGCATAGGGAGAAGGTGTTGAAATAATTTGTAGAGATTAAAAAATTTTTTAAACTTCAGGCTGGTGTTGCACAAAGACCAAACTTTGGGCACCAACCATATATAAGTCTTAATAACCCTATCTAATATAAATGATCATATATCAGTGAAAATGGCCCTGGTCACCAGAGGACTAAATGGTGGAAGACTGTCCTATAGGAATTATAGGGTCTTAAAATCTTTGTAATTGTAAAGTGGGGCTAAATCAGCATACCAATAGCAGTTTATAACGTAATTCCATGAAGTAGAGGAGAGTAACCTCCTTAAAATCCCTTACCTTGGTGTTCCTCATAGCTGTCAGCCCTTCAGAAAATGCTCGGAAGATGTAGACAGTGTAACTTTACAAAGAACATGATCAATAATGAGTCCGGTGTTTAACTTAATCAAAAGAGTGATCATTTGTCTTTGAATGAAAATTACTTTCTGCCTGTCTTCTCAGAGTCTTAGTCTGTAAGTTTTTTGTCTGCACTGATTGCAATGGGAGACTTATTTGGAATAGCAGTACAAAACCCGATAACTTTTAATGGTAGAGAAGCAAATTTCTCTCCTAAAGGTGTCTGCATGCTTTTCAGTTACCCTGACGTTTCTTTGCATGTCACTAGGTTACTACTAACTTCCAGTCTTCAGTCCCCAGCTTTGCTTTGTATGTTTAGGTGGACTACTAGCAAGGCACTAGCCTTCCTTAATGGTCAAACAAACCTTTAATTATTTTCTGAGTATTTACTAATTAAACAAGATAAAAAACCTTATAAATGCCTGCTGCCAAACTCCAGTTATATATACACGGTTGAACAGCAACCAGAATGAGGGAATTTTGTGTTTTCTGCAGAATGGAAATCTAATTTTAATTTATGGAGGAGAGGGTGATTTGACTTGACCAGATGCTAGACATGCAACCTGTGAAACTTCTGTCTCCCTAAATTCATAGGCAAAATAGGCAAAAGGGATGGTTTGAACAGTTTCCGAAATGAGATGTTAATATTCAGTTTTAATGACTTCACAACTTAAAAAGACTGCTATTTTATTTTTAAACATAAGCTGTTTGAGTCCTGCCTCTATGGAGATCTATGCCTTAGTTTTTTTAAATTCAAGTTTGTTTTTTTAGAGAAAAGGTTAAATATGAACACTAAAGATTTAAAAACAACAACAAAAATGAAAGCAGCTCTACATTAATTTTTATTTTAAAATTTCATTATTTTTCTTCCCTGACACACACTTGGGGTATATTTGAAAAATAGCTAGCTAAATGATTTTTCTGAAACCAGCAATGTGCTGAATTAGCTACGGTAGGCTTTTTATCTAGCAATTATTCTGCAAGGTTTCCTCCCTCCCTCCCTTCCTCAGAACAGTCATTTTTTGCAACTCTCACACTTTGGTTGAAGTTTATGACAATTTTGTGTCCTTCACTATCAGTAATTCATTGCTACTGCCTTCAGTAGTTTCACTGGTCTTTTTGCCTTGCGGAAGTCCCTAGAAAATGATGTAAAAAGCAATATTTTTCAAATAGTTGTAACAAAAGTATCGGGCCTAGCTGCACTGAATGTTCCTGCAGTCCTCCTTTTCGAAGTTCTTATCTTCCATGTTCACAGTAAACAAAGCAGATGGTTCATTTCTCCCATTAGAGAACCTCTATATTCTTGCCATTGCTGTTAAACCTGATGCCTGCAAGTGGGCCATGACACTTGCAGGGAAGGATCACTGAAGTCCAGTGGTGTAGAGGAGTTGTCGGGATGTGTGCAGTGCTCAGAGCAGGGTCAACACCTCGATGTCCTTTACTGCTTCTTCTGTACAGTGGTTAATGTTTTCCTGTTGTCACTAAATGTAGCGAGGACTCTGAACTGAGTGCCTTCATCAGTGTGAGCCCCATGAGAGGATGTACCGTGCCACCTGCCAGAACCCCTTTGGGGTTTCCTGGATGTCTGGTCTCATTGCTGCTGAATGCTGGTGGCTGGGGTGGGAAGGATGGATAAGCTTTCTTCACCTTGTTGATGCAGAGCCTTAAAAACAACTCTTTAGGATGTGACCTTTAATATCTGTAGCAGAAGAGAGCAATGAACTAGACTTGATGATCCGGAAAGTGTGCTCCAGGGCAAAATCTTGTAAAAAACCTAACTATTTCAGTTAGTTCAGTTTCTGTGGGGAGTCAATTTGGGGTATTATTTCATAATTTCAACTGAAGAAGCCTCTAACTAGTTTGACTTTTAGGATGCATGATGAAACTCACCCCTTTAGGGAAGTTCTTGCAGAGACAAGATACAAGGAAAGTTTGCTTGTCTAAGCAGCAGAGAAGGTTGCTTGCTCACGAGTTTGTGCTGATTTATGTGTGACTGGTTGCAGCAGAATAGATGGACTGTGCTGTGAACAAGAGAAAAATACACTCAATTGATAATGTTTTAAATCAAAATAAATAATAATGTTTTCTTTGTGGAAAGACTGTGGAAATATATTGACAGAAAACAATGCAGAAAGAATCTGAAACCACCTTTGCCCACAGTTTCCACTGCATATGTTTCTTAAACTCTTTTTCTGCTCACAGTTTTTATTAAATATCCTGGTTGCCTTAGGCCCATTACATGACTGGAACAAAAAAAAAAAAAATGGCAAAGTTTCAATCTCGTCTTCTAGGATACATCTAAATATACATTTCTGATTATAAAGTGTCAGTCACCACTGAGGCTGGAAATGGCCTGTTCTGCTTTGAGGAAGGGAGAGGCAGATCACTAATGGTTGCTCGGGCTGTCATGTTTCTGAGAATCAGCTGTTTTTTCTTTATGCTGCAAAGATTAAACAAAGAATGTTAAACATTTCCCAATTTAGCATTTATAATGGAAAGCGGCTGTAGGGCCACAGCTTGCTGCTGCAAGGGCAGGCGTTCATATTAGGAGTCGCTTAAAAAGGCTTTTATTTTCTTTGAAGGCCTATCCATTCCTCTCCCAGCCTGGCCGCTGTGCTTTGCAGTCAGGTGGAGGCAGCTTTTAATTTTTCCTTTCATTTAAGTAGGAGCTAATTTACTTTTGGAAATGAAAGTTAAAGCATCTCAGCCATCTGCAAAATGGAGGAGGAGGCAGTGGGTTTTTTTAACTTTTCAAATCTCTACGATTCTTTTTCACACCAACAGGCAAGCAAAAATTACCTTCCTGAGCTCCTATTAGTAATGATATGTAGTATTAATGATCTAATTTCTTAGCTTCAACTCTTTATCTCAGTTTTTAAAATATACCTGTTGGTTATGTTCAGTCTCTTTATACTTGCATCCAGCTCAGGAGTTTTGAAATAAGAAGTTGTAGTTTTGAGTGCAGCAAAACCACATTTTTTGACCTACAGACAGCACAGCTTTTTCTAAAGCATTTCATTAAGGATTCAGTGGAGTGCTGTGACTTTCTGTTTGTCACAGTAAAGGCAAAGGACACTTAAGAGTGACTGGTAAATGAAAAAAAAAAAAAAAAGGGAGGGGGTTTGACATTTTTATATCCTGTCATTTTATATGCTTTTATCATGTTTGTTTATGAACCTTTCTTACTTTTTATAGTTTTACTTGAAGAGTCCATAGTGGACATAAATAAATTGTTCAGCTTTCTTAGTTGAAGCTGAGGAGAATTTCAGTTTTATGCAAATATGTATTTTATTCCCTATCAAAGTGAAAAAAGTGTTAATACACTTAGGTTTTTTAACAGAGCAGCTAAAAATGTCCTTCGTCTGCCTCTCCATTGGCTAGTTTTCAGAAATTCAGTAGTTCTCTGTCATCACATAGGGACAAGATCTAAACTTCTTATATAATTAAAACATTTTCAGAAAAAATATTTCTGGTTTCTTGTATAAATTGTAAGCACTCTAAAGAAATCAGATATCCATTTTCTGCCTTCTCCAGACTGCCTGCAAGTAGGTTTTCTTTAAACAAAACAGCCTTGCACTCAGAGCTCACAAACATTTGTGTATTACTTAGATATCTACATGAGTAATTTTACTGGCCTCCTCTAGTAGCTTAAATATGTTTGTAAATGCTTGCCCACCTTTTTGTTTCTTAAGGCAAGCTCTTTGCCTTTTTTTTTTTAATAACTCAAAGTTTGAGTTTAAAAAATATTTCAATCTTCCTGTGATTACATTTCTTACAGAATGTTGGAATTTTTGGACTGTGCATCTGTTTAGGCACATGGAGAAAGACAAGACTGAGATCATGTAAGTCATGAAACTGAGAGTTAATAATCCATACTTTGTTCTCTCCCCATTTTTACAATTTATACCCAGATGCAAGTAATAAACCAAAAAGGAAAAAAAAAAAAAAAAGACTAGTTAGCTTTTATTTTTAAAGTGATTAATGAAAAGCAAAGTTCAAATGAGGCCACAAATCCTGGTGGTGCACAATGGGTTGATTTATTTTGTAAATAGACCATGGATAATTAACCATAAAACAAAACTTTTTTTTTGAAACTTGCATAATGACACTGGTTTCTTTTAGTTGCTGTGAGTTGCATAGAGGGATAACAACTTATTCACAACTGGTTGCAACTGGTTACAGCCAAGAAAGGAAAAATCCCAGAGCAGCTAGAGGAAAAAAGCTGTTAAAACCCTGCTGCACTTGCAGTTTTGTAGTAAGGCATTTACTAATGGCTACAGAATGGGCAAAGCTAGCAATAACAGCAAAAGAGTAGATATTTACGTTCTCTGATGATGCTTGCCATGTTATTCATGTTTTGGCTTTAAACTCATAAGCAAAAAACAGCCCCTGCAGCTGGCCTTGTAGTCCACAATTTTGTATTGACTTCTATATAGAATTATTTATGCTTTGTTACAAGTTTCCGTGATGTATCTTACTACTCTGACGCTGAGGGAAGAGTCTTCTGGATAGTCATAGTCTGACTTCCTGCCAAGTCTTCTTGTGAGCCAGGGAGTGATGCTAGTTTTTCAGATATGTGATAGAAGAAAACTGCCTGCCCAACATCCCCAAAATTTGTCTCTTCATAATCCACAGTCGTCTGTGGAAGGAATCCCTGATGCCCAAGAAGGAGAAGGTTCAATTTGTTGTGAAAGTACATTCACTACTAATTAAAACTGCCAGCTGGGATTACAGCCCTGGAGACTGTAAATAAAGTAGAGCATGAGATGTTTAGATGACAATATGGCCCCTTTTGTGGTAGTTTGTATTAGTTGCCTGTAGTCAAATTTGCTCATCTCATGCCGATTTATTAGAGTGAAGAGAAGGATTATGTAGGTAACGCTCAATATGCGAGAGGTTGGATTTGCCAAACAGCAACTGACTGTATGGACACCCTGGCTTGCTCTCACATGCCACATGGGCCTTAAAATACTTTTGACTATATAGATAAGATCTGCAATTCACAAAGCCAGAATCTGTGTTCACATTGATTATTGGTGCAGCTGTGCTCTCTTTCACAGATGGTGACTCCAAGGTACTTGAGAAAAGCCCTCCTCATTCCAAACGACAGCCTGGGCAGGCAGAGGTAGTGGGTTAAAATGCTTAAAACTGGTATTGTTTTACATGCATTGAATCCATTTGTTACAGTAGTGTTACAGGCTGATGTTTGCAAGGGTTCTCTGTCCTAAATTGATTTGTGCACATGTGGTTTCTTCTGCAAATTTGGAGTATTTATTTGTCAGCAATGTACTGCAGAGACTGAGGAGAGGAGAAGCAGATTGTTAATGTTAGACCATCGCCTGCTACCTGCTTGAGCTTATTGTAGATAAGTGGGTATAAGCGTTTTGTGTTTTTAGTCTAGACTCCAGTTACAAGACAGGATCTTAGATTGGCACTTTAAACCTGTAACCAGAGAACTGATGAGTTCCCACTGTGTTACTGACACTAGTAACCATAACACGTGGGTTGCCACTTCTAATCTGTTTTTAGGCCAGAGTCAAGTTAAAATAGCACTTAGTTTGAGCAAGAGGCTTCTGTTGTGGGTGGGAATCATGCTGGGGGTAACATTAGCATTGTACTTACAAACAACGTTGCAATGAAGACAAGACCCCAAAAGGAAGTTAACTCTCCAAGGCTCAATACAGTCTTTGGCTTCCCTACAGGTCCTGTTGGAAGGGAAGTCAGCCAAGGTCCATTGTGGTAGTGCTAAATGGATGGGCCTGTCCCATGGGGTCTCCCTTGAAACTGCTTTTTCTCAGGCTTTTGCTTCTGGGAAGCATGTCGATGTATGGAATCTACTGTGTACTGTTTATAAGTTAGAACTTGATTTTATTGACTAACAGAGTCCTTGTATCTTGTGACAATCTTTTTCTGTGCTCTGCATCATGCCAAAGAGACAGGGGAGTGGTGTTGGCATGTCTTTGTATGAATAGGTCTGTCATTAAATATTTGAAATAGAAACATCTGAAATAGATCTTGCATGAGAAGAACAATGGGATAACTAGAGAAAGCCAGTTTTCTCCAAATTTGCTTTTAGGGACTGGAGCTTTAAGCAAACAGAAGGAAAAGGGAAGGAAAAAAAAAAAAAAAAAGAACAGAGAGAGCAGGTATTACTACATGGGCTTAAAAAATACAAACTCTGGGAGGAAACCAAGGAAAATTAAGAGAGGAGAGTGGACAAATGCTTAGCAGAGTTGGGGTGGGGGATGGTTCTCATTTGTTTGTTTTTAAAAAGACCAGCTAAGGGAGAGGGAAGCTGGTGGTAGAAGGATTGAAAGTTTCCCATTCAGAAGAAGCACTGTGTTTAGGAAAGGGAAACTTTTTGTCTGATGTGAATCTAAGCCTGAGGACCATTGACTGCTAGTGATGAGAATGCTGAGGCATGGACATGCCTTTGGGTATTTTCTGTTTTCTCTGATCTCTAAATCTGTATTTTAATTTTGTGAAGGGTGAGGGATTCAGTCATCTTCCTCAGACAGTTGGGCTGTGAAATCTTACTGTTAGAAAGGGTTACAGACAACCTTAGATGAAGGCACACACAAGGTGAAGGAGAGAGTTTTCAACTCCTTTCAGATTGTGCAAAGTGTCAGCACATGGCTCCAGTATGCAGAACACAAATTCAACAGTCTGCTCAGTGTGCAGCAGGAAAAGCTCTGGTAGAGGTAATTGTAGTTCAGGCTTTTGAACAAACCTTTGTGTTTCTCTCATGTTAGTAACCTATTGGTAGGGATATGCAATCTAAACTCCTTTTATTTTAGCTACTCAATCTCTTCCCAAATACCTGTCCCCAAATCTAATGGTTAAAAAAAACCCCACAGGTCAGGTAATTCCGACAGTTTTCCCCAAGACTTTGCCCATCTCAGCCTTGTGAATCGTGGCATCTGATGTTCTGGTAGGTCAGTTCAAGTTCCTGTTAGAATGCACTTTCATGTGGAACTAAGTAGTATGGCTGTTTGAATTCTTGGACTTCTGTTCCAAGCACTGCATTCAGAAATTTGCTGTATAAGAAACAAAAATTATTTGGTTCTTACTGAGATTCTGATCATATTACAAAAAACCCTCCATCAAATGGCATGGAAGATGAACACGTCTTATAAGCATCTCAATGATGAGTGTCATGCTTAAAGGATGAGCTGTACTTCAACTCTCCTTATAATCTTCCTAAATAAAGTTTCAGGTGTCGGCACCCCTGCTGCTACCTGATCTAGGTGAAATCCTTCAGTTCTTCCCTGTTTAGGCCAGGATTTCTCTCTCATAGCTTCAGTCAAGCTTCACATAACTTCATGGTATTTCATGTTTTAGTAATTTGGAAATGCATGAGCAGTGATCAAGAGCCTTCTTAGTAGATGAAGCAAATGGTTAAAGAAAAAGGAATTTTAATGTTAAATATCTTATTAATCACAACTGCTCTTACATTTTTCTATGAGTTAAGTTTAAGGTTAAAGGACAGAGCAGAAACAACTAGCATTCCCCTCACTTCTCCTCACGCCACATTCTTCTTCTGTGAGTTTCAGTCTGCTGCTTTATCCTGCTCAAAACTGGTTTTGATACTTGCCCAAATGGCAGTAGTAATTAATGGTACTAGACCCAACGAGATGTGTGTTAGTTGTTACATAACTGACTGTCTGAAAAAGCCTCTTAGCTTCACCAGTTTTTGGACAAGAACAGCATAACAGGTGGGTTATTAATAATAATTAGATTGTCACTGATATATTGATAGTATGGCAGAGGTATTACAAGCTTCTTCTGAGGCTCACTAAAGTGTACTGAAGGTCAGGACTAGAAGCCCTAAAAAAATACTGGTTCATTAAAAAGAAAATATTTCCAGGACTCTTATTTACTTTCATCATTCATATTTCCATATAAAGCTTTTTGGTGTTTGTGGAACAGAAATGCATTTGTTTCAAACTTTTATTTTGAAAATGTATTTTATATTCTAATATAAAATTTAAATCAAACCTGAAACTAGCAATCAAAACAAAATTATTTTGTCAAAACAGCATTCAATTGATTGAAATGATTTTTTATTTTTGTTTCATGGGTAACTTTGCAATGCAGTGTTTAATTCAACTGTGAAACAAAAGCAAATTTCAAAGTCTAGCTATCCTGTAAAGCAAGAATATAGGATTGTGTTTGGGCTCTTTTAGGTTGTGCTTAAAGGAGTGCTTCGTCACTACTGAATCTGTTGAATCGACAAAAATTTTAAAATGTGTGAGGACCTGACAGGACAAGGGGAAATGGCCTCAAGCTGTGCCTGGGGCAGTTCAGTTTGGACATCAGGAATAATTTCTTCGCTGTAAGGGTGGTGAAGCATTAGAACAGGCTAACCAGGGAGGTGGTGGAGTCACCATCCCTGGAGGTGTTCAAGAAATGGTTGGCCATGGCTCTTAGTGCTATGGTTTAGTTGACAAGGTGGTGTACAGTCAAAGGTTGGACTCAATAATCCTGGAGATCTTTTCCAACCTTAATGATTCTATGATTCTATGACCCTGAGACTATGCTGAAGTCCTGTTGTGTTGATGTTATAATGGAACTTTCTGTCTCTGTAACAGTTGATCAGAGTCAGTCTTAGCAACTGTAAGTAGATCTCCCCTGGGAATTCTGTGTTTCTGCTCAGCAAATTGAGAAACCTTTGACATCATTTCAGCTCTTCTGTCTTCCTTCTTTGTGGGCTAGTCATGAATCGACCCTTCCAAATTCTGGGTGCCTCTCTTGGTTCAATTGCTTGCAAAATGAGCAAACAGTTGAAAAAAATTGATAGTGTGAGTGTAAAGACTATGCAGTTAATATGAGTGCATTCACT